AGGTTTTTGGTTGCCTTATCATATCACAACAGAGGTTTTTGGTTGCCTTATCATATCACAACAGAGGTTACGCGTGTGTATTTTATTTTCCTGTACCTACTTGACATCTTGATTGGCTGATTCTACCATTTTAAACATAAGACAGGTAGAAAGTCTTAAAAATTTCCATTTTTGAACAAGTGTCAGACAGGAGTAAAAATGTCCTCTTCTCAGATTTGCTTTCTATTTTTCAGGTGGCTTAGAAAGATTTAGGGGATCAGTTCGAGGTTTATTTTTTTGCTCCTCTCCACATTATCCTCTTCACTTCTCTTCAAACATCCTCTCCCTCAGTCTTCAGTCCACACTGCCTCTCACCCGCCCGGAAACACAAGCCCGGCTGAAAAGTACTACATTGCAGAGTTGACAAGGAATGATAGCAGAAGGCTGACAGTGTGAAAGGATTAGGAAGATGACAATATGAGCGGAGAATATATTCTCTTTTAATAGAACTCTCTCTGGCCCTTGACGATGGCTCAAAGTTTGCAAAATATTACAGTGACAGATGGGCATTTATTGCTCTTGTGCAAATTCATGTCGTCATATCAAATCACTTGCACGGTGTTCGCTTCAGGGCGCTGCCTGTATCTCCTACTCAGGAAAAGCCTCTGCTTTATGACTGCTTGTCCTTTGGTAACAAAGAGAGACCATTTGGTTTTATGACTTCAAAATTTTGCTTTAGACTAGTCAACATAGCACTTGATGTCTTTCAGTCATGTCCTTTGTTTAAAAACATCTCCCAGAGAGAAGAGAGTAGTCCCTTGACATCTGTGGTTATTAGATATTGTGGAGAGCAGAATTGGAGCTGTGTTGGCTGAAGAGCCGCTCTGACGCCACCGACATCATCCATGAGATCCGACCCACACGAGAGAGCAGAGCTGGAAAGCTGAAGAGCACAGGACACAGGTGTTTTCCCTTGTGCTGCATTCATTGTGCTGAACTCATTAATGGTAAATCCTCCAACCCTGTCTGCTAATACTGAAAGCAACATGAGCAATGTGCTACTTTGAAGTCAGTGCTCATAAGTGGGGTTGATTTACAAAATATGATTACTAAATGTTACAGCATTTCATAAGCGCTACAAGTAATTATCCCTGCATATTGTCAATCACGGGAGATGGTACATTAAGGAACAGACTGTTGTGTTTTCCGTTGTAGATGATATGTTTATGAAAAATTTCAATGAATTAGTATTCCTGCAACTGCTAATGCATATGCCCACATGCACAAACATACAGCTTGCATGATCTCTGGTGTTTTTACAACACCAATTGTTCTATCTGAGCTAAATTCCATTAAAACATGCTCATCACGTTAAGTCAATGCAAATGCATTTCCAAATTAGTCTTATCTTGCATGTCTGACACTTACAAAAAAAACCCACATTACCATATTTGTGTGTGTGTGTGTGTGTGTGTGTGTGTGTGTGTGTGTGTTAAAGCATGCATGTGTGTGAGCCCTTCCGAGTCCTATTTTAGGTTAAGAACTTGGATTTATAGTTGATGGATGGATTAGCTTAAAGTTCAGGTATAAGAGTTGAGGTAAAGCATGTAGTGCTGATGCTTGAAGCTGCTTATCAGTGGTTTTGCATGTTTTAGCATGTTAAGTACAAAAGTATGTGTTACATGAGAGCCAAAGCATACCGGTTTTCAAGAGCTTGACACAGGTTGTGAGTGACTTCCAAGCTCCCATGCAGCCATCAGTTTCAGTCCTTGCCAGTACAGTATGAAGATCTACTTACTTGAGACAAGTAATCCAACATAATGTACATTTAGTCAATTACAATTTTGTTGCAGGTTACATTGTCTCTGTGTGATGTAGATGCAATGGGAGACTGTTTTGTTTTACATTTGAAAAGTTCCTTTGAAAGCTCTGAAATGCTCTCAAATGTCATGTGCACTTTGGCATAAAATTCAAAAGCACCAATGAAAAGGGTTTTAAAAATAGTTTCTGCCTGCAATGGCATCATTGTACAACTATGACGTAAGGGATTAAAAAATAAATATGAATTCATGTTGTGTGTGATATTCTCAAGCATGTTTCAAGTCTTTGTAAATTTATTTTTATGCTGTTCTGAAATGAATAGAAAACAGTGGCAGCCCATGGGAGTAAGAAAATCTATGAAATTCAGGTAGCAAAACATTTGTATTAAATGGGCTACAATGTGCAACACCATTAGAGTATATAGAATACATGTAACCAGCAGAGCATCCTCGTGTTGACGAAAGTACAAGGATGTGTATGTATGTTCATCTTTGTGTTTGGAGGAGATGCACATTGTCACCAGTGTTTCTTTTTCAGAAAGTATGTGAGTTGCATACCGACCTAAGCTCATCCGCACGGATTATTTTTTGTTATGTGCCTAGCACTGTACAATGCAAAAGGTGGCATAAAGCAGAAAAACCCTAAACTGAGCCTCCTCCAATAATCCAGAATAACATGTAACAGCAATTACAGCACGTCACAGCATGGTATATTCAGTGGACATCTCGTCCTTTCCATCTCAGAGCTGTTCTGACAGATCATCCCTTGTGCCCACTCTATGGCTGACTGGTTTTGAGAAAAAAAAGAGATTGTGAAAGCGAGACAGAGAGATGGACAGAAAAGCCAAGACAGAGATGGAGTGACATGTGTGCTTGCGTAGCTACATAAATGTACACATGCACCCACACACACACACTCACTTACACATTGTTGTATAAGCCATAGAAAAGACATACACCGAATCACAAACACCATTCGGACTGTTCAAACAAAGATATGAGGACTATGTTGTTTCACCTGCAGTTGAATACACACCATAACTAATGCGGTACATGTCTGAACATATTTGTGGATGGTAGGGACATGGCCATACCTTGTCGTAGCAATGATCGACCTGTACAAGCTCATGGCCCACAGATGAAGAGATCAGCAGCCGCAGACTGTCTGACAAAGTGTGAACCAAAAGGCCATCATAAAATCTACGTGTCCACTCCATTAACATGGTAATTAGGCACATCTAGCCACAATGTGAAGTCAACCTGAGAGATGCTGCCAGTGTGTGTGCCAGCTAAGCCACTTTCCTTCCATGTGTTTGTGAATGGTGGCTCTGTCTCAGTAAATGCTGTGCCTGATGCATCAGCCAGGCTGCCTAGAATGTGTTATTTTAGGTGCAAAAAAATTCAAATTCACCAGAGAACTTCTGCGCTGTTCCTGCCAACGCTGACGCATCCCTGCCTCACTATTGTAGACTGAGACATGCTGGCATACTGAGCACTTTTGGCAGACGGTTGAAATCTGTACTTTGAAGTCGTTTGTCTTGAATTAAGTGATTTTCTGTCCGGCACTGTGCAGTGGTAAGACAGCTGATTCACATGCAAAAACCTTGGACAGCATAGGGATAGAGCATGTTTGGAGTACAGAATCCTCAAATGCCAATCACCTCGGGTTTCAGCTCTCCCTTTAACCCTGAACATAAATGGAAAATGAATATATACTGTGGGAAATCATCTCCTTGAGGATCTGTTGATGATAATGATACATTATCAGGAGTAACAGCATTTACCAGCATCTCCATTAGTTTAACACAAAACAGAGACGGACATGTTTTTCATTAACCAATAAAGAGCCTCTTCTGGAATGCACATCGTGACTCATGTTAGTTCTGGCCAAACAAATCCAGACGTATCACTTCTCATAAACAGAATAAAAAGAAGATCAGTTATGAGAAGCTGTCAGGATGCAGGTTTAGACAATAGGCCTTCCCTCAAAGCTGTTGTAGCTATAAGCACTCGTCACCCTGGTGTGTTTCATCTCGACTGTTGGAACAGCAATAATCGATCTAATGGCAGTAAGAAAAACATGTTGTTTTTCTCTGCCCCCGAGGCACGCAGCAGAAACACATACACTCTAAACAGATGGTTTTTCACAAGACAGACTACATAAATACCAATATAACACAAGCAGTGAGCGATATATGGTGACCCCCATCAAGCATGTTTGTGTGTTTTTTTAAGAGTATCTCTTAAGTTACTTTAGCCTAATAAAAACTGCATAAAAATAACACAACCAAAAGAGCAGGCTATTTCTAATGACAAAGAGATGTGCAAGGCTAGCTCTAATGCAGTGGTTCATAAAGTGGGGTCTGGGGACCTCCGAGGGGATGCTGAGGGGGCTCCAGGGGGCCCCAAGCAAAATGAGGAACAGTTTAATTTCACTATTATTTCACTCCCTCAATAATAGCACAATGGGAGCATGTGCTACTGTAATCTATCCTCATTAGAGGTTTTACTCTTCCTACTGTTGTCAGACATCCAGTGCAGACAGTTATGCAGCTGTAGGCCAATTAAAGACTAAAAAGAAAGAAACTCTGGGACAAAAGATCATCAAATAAAAGTATGTGGTCTAATGTGTTTCTATCTGGGGCATCTTGATATTAAAAGTTTGAGGAGCTCTCCCCTTTTTATATGAGGTGCTGAAGGTCTTGGGTGTTCATCTAGTGTGTAGCCAGCGGAGAATAACCTTGTGAACTGCGGTTTGATCCATCACATCTAGATGTACTGACACACAGCAAATAATAATGCTCCAGCACAGTGCAATGCTCGGAGAGATAGCCTTGTGACCCGGGTACAACTCATAAACTGCAGTGCGGCATCAGCTGTATTAATAATCACAGAGTCGTCCCCATGTTTCCTTACACAGATGAATATTTCATTCAGTGCGTGTTGTGCAAATTAAAGACGCGCTTCAAATGGCGCATCGTCTGTAATAACACATCTGCGGGGCAACGTGGTGCAATATGAATGTGTCACATTTAAACATCTGTTTAATAACCGTAAAAAAAGTACCAGCACTGGATTCGTACACATTGTGAGAACGAAGCAGAATTCGCCTTATAGGCTGCATAATACTAATAAAATATGCAAAAATGGGAAAATCGCGTTATAAATTTGGGGGGTAAAGTTGAGACTTAGGCTACTCACCCCTTTTGAACATTTTGTAGGCCTAGGTGTATTTTGTCTTCTGTCCTCTGAGAATCATCTATTCTTATATTCCAGACTTAAAACTTGTGCGCTTTAGTTTTGAAGTTGATCCGGAGCTTTCGTGGCTCGTCGTGTGAATGTCCGTTGTCACTCCTCGGGATTTTCTTGCCGTCCACTGTGTTGAGTTGCGCTGCAGAATGCCGTGGGTTTGATAAACATTGACAACAGACAATAATCTCCTTTTCCACAAAGTCTGGCAGACCTCAGTCGGACCTGGGAAATTAGGCGGAAATCATTGCGGAACAGGCGCACTAAAATCATCCCCTCAGTCCGAAATAATGATAACTCCAGTGTGTGCCATGAGCACAAACGCACAGTAGTCCGATACAACCTCTGATAGCCAACTGCTTTTTAGTCGCATATGACCGTACAGAGGCTGCAAACCAGTTCTGGGGGAAAGTCGACGGTGAACACAAGCAGCCCCCACCACTCCCCCTAAAAAAAATACAGATTTTTAAATTCAAGTGGCCAATCTAAAATTCTTCTCTCGGTGCTTCAGAGCCGTTCAAATCGCATCATATTCGTTAAAATCTCTAATTAACATAAGTTATTTGGATTCACATTCCGCCTCTGATGTCGGATTATAAGCGCAGACTCCTCAAATCCTCCTTAATAATGTAGACTTTGATGCCTTCGGTTTCCTTAAAATCCACCCCCCTTTTTTTCAGCTCTCCTCTCCACTCGTAATTGTTACATTTGTGTGATCTTGTCTGTGAAGATCTCTCTGCTTTCCACCTATGGATCAGAGCTCGTTGATGCGCTCAAGGAGGGAGAAAGTATGTGGTACCGCCTCAGATCCTCCACCGGGCAGCATCCTGCTCCATCCCTCTCAGTGTCTCTGTCCCTGTCTGCGCCAGCCTGAGACACACTGCTACCTGACACCAGAGGTCTTTATAATGAATACAATATGACACAACGAGACAAAACTGGCATCTAACAACAATATAGGCTATTAACCAGCAAACATCAGGGGAGATGTGTCATGCTCCTCATTCTTCAGTATGAGACAGCTCTTATGAGAAAACTCTGGTTTCTGATCAAATAACCTCCTACCAAATCAATATGTTATAGATAATGGACTAATGTGTTAGATAAACTAAGTAAGTCTGTCTGTCTTTCTCTCTCTCTCTCTCTCTCTCTCTCTCTCTCTCTCTCTCTCTCTCTCTCTCTCTCTCTCCCCCCCCCTGACACACACACACACACACACACACACACACACACACACACACACATTGCAATGCATTGCAAATAATTATGACACGCCTAGGCTATTACAGTATTTATTCAACAAGATTTACAAGTTAGGCTCGCAAAAAATATAATTTTATTTAATTGAGTTATATTTTATTTCAGATTTTTTTTAAAGATAGATTTTTATTTCAGATTTTACCTTAATGTTATATTTATTCTATTTAGTTTTACTTGTTTTATTACATGTATGTAAAGCTCAGTGTAACAAAATTAGGCTGCACAATGTTTTCTTTTTATAAATGTTTTGTTTTCATTTTGTTTTACAAGTTTGTTTTTTAGTTTTATTTAGGCTGAGTGATAAAGCACTTTCGAAACTAACTACTACTAACTACTACTACTGACAACGGACACTGTAACCCACAGAGATATACCGACCTGTCCCAGTGTGGTCCACATGTCCTCCTGTCCCGTTAGGTGACATCGATTGAATCGGTGTTCGACTTTTCTCCACTCGCCTCTTCGCTCGATTGCTTTCGCCTTTCTGTACCCTCACATGTGTGATGTTTGGGAGAATAAAACATGGCAGCGCCCTCGAGTGAAGTGCAGATTGTTCCTGCCAAGAAGCCCGCAGGTAAATATTAACATCCATTATGAAATATTGAATACAACAGACAGAGAAATATATTTAGAAGTTGATAGATACCTGGCTTCCACATCGAGGAGACGCAGCTACACTGACACAACAACACAGCTGTCCGGCTATGGTGCAAAGAAGAAAATGGGAAAAACACGGTCTGTTTAATAGCTATCCAGCTTTATTCAGTATAATCAACTTAAATGATAAAACATTAGTTTGTTTTTTGCCTTCTAGCTACTATAAAACCAGCGTTAGCGTGATGACTCATCAGCCTTCACGACGAACATGAGATCGATGTGAAGTGTTTGTCGATCAGCTGACAGATGAGTTGTGTGTTTTTAGGGTTTATGAACGATTGTCTCATTGTTACCGAGAGCATCATCCGTCTTGTCAGTCTTGTCTTGTTCGTTTTGATTTATTCCAACAGAAGATCAATGTCTTTGCAGAGTCCACTCCGGAAATGACATATTACCTCCTGATAAGCGATTGCATGATTTCACAAATACAGTTTACCCTTGAACACAACATCTTAGATGATGTGATTGGGTTTTATTTTATTTATTTGCAGTGTTTCTTTCTCCTATATTGGATGTATAGTTTGTTCATTGCCACTGAGGAAGAAACAGGCCTGAAGGAAGTTTTTATAGGATGAGTGTGGTTTACTGACCATGCTAATGGTGTTTCCTTGCCAAAAGAAAAAGTTACATCATTTTTTCTTGGCAACCATGCAGTGTTTCCAACACATGCACAAACTAGCTTTCTATTCAAACATGATTTCACACGATTTCACCGTGTTGGCAAACTTATTGATACATCTGTGCTTTAATCTGTTATTCCACTTCATACATTTGAAAGGGATACAGACACATAATATACAAATAAATAGTTTTAGGTGAGGCCATATTCTCTATATGGGAAACACTGATATAGTGCTACCATAATATGAGCTCACCGCAGAGGCTACAGGCTGGTTTTATAACAAGTAAAATAATGCAGGGAATAGAGAGGTGAAATGTGATGATGATGCACATCTAAGAAGATCTAGTAGGAAAAGAAACTGAAAAGTTTGTTTCTAATTAAGTTTACTGCGAGTAAGAAGACAGTAGGCAGGATTTCTCCTCTAGACTTTGTTTAGTCATTTACAGAATAACGACAGATGGAGCAAGAGCAGCATTTTGATTGCCTACTTTTTGTCTTTTGTTTTTTGTTTGTATTTCATTTAGGTCTCAAGTTTTTTTGTTTTTTCAATTATTTTCAAATACATAATTTACTTGGACTGTGCCATGAATATAGCTCAAGTCAGTTGAGCTTTTCTGCAGCTGTAATAGAGGGAAAGCACAACAGTTTCCTCATTGTGTGCTGGAAAAGATTATACAGAAAATAGTTCAGTGGCTACATGAATTATGACAACTGCAGTGCAAGACTGGTTAAATTAAATGTTCACATTTACATTTTTGAAGAAACAAATAATATTACAGATTAAACACTTTAATTCTGAATGTCTTAGTTATCTATCAAAGTCAAAATAAAGTACTGATCCAGTCCCGGTGGTAGAAAAAAATCAATGACGTGTGTGTGTAAACTGGCCTCTTTAACATGTGAGGATGTTTAGTCGGAAGGATGAGAAGGCCATAGGGTATCTCAAGTTTTTTTGAGATATGTTAGAGACTCTGTTGTTTAGACCAGATAATTAAGACAAGTCTTCTTTGTGACCTTGTTTTCTTGAGCATGTCTAACCTATTGGAAGGGGTTTGTTTATTTTAAACTTAAAAATATAGACTGACCTTTTTGTCCGTGAGTCACCAAAGAAGATTGTACATTGTGATAAAAGTAATTCTGTCTGTACTTGAGACCAAGCAGGGCGACATGAAGTTCAAATGCTGCCAGTAAAGTCTCAGCCAAACCTCTTTCAGCTTTTTTTCTCCATTTCAGCCGGCATGTCAAGCTTTCCAGTAGCTTGTAGAAAAATTGAAAATAGAAGATGCTACAAGGACAAATTTGTCCAATTCCACCACTCTCAAACCTCTTAAAACCTGGCCTATTCCTGTTTGAGGTGGGAGACACATTTGGGCAATATTGAATGTGGAAAGCGACTTTCCTGAACTGCATTAGCCCCCTCCACACTCAGACTGTGACCAGCTTGCCTGTCGAATAGCGTTCAGTCCATTAGATATGGCGTCCTTGCTTCAACCTGTGTTTATTGCATTGCTAACCACTCCATCATTTGACTTTCTCTTCAGTCCGAGGACCACGGCGGGTAGCCAATCAAATTCCAGATGAAATCCTGCAAGACCCTGAGTTACAGGAGGCGATCAAAGCCCTGCCTGCAAATTACAACTTTGAGATCCACAAGACGGTTTGGCGAGTGAGACAAGCAAATTCTAAGAGAGGTGAGCTCTGTTCTTTCTTAAAACATTTGATTAATTTAGCACATGATAAGAAGCTATATTAATTTATCAGAGACAGTCATTGTATTTACTGTAGGGGGGAATGCCAGATTAAAAAAAAAAAAAAACTTAACATGCAGCTGTAGAATTGTTTTCCTTATCCAAAAATCTGTGGTTTAATACAACATGGACATTTACTAAAAGCTGAGCCAACCATTTATTCCACAATGTCACATTAAACATTAGTGCTTGTGCTAGAGGCTTTTAAATTGCACAACTGACTTCTGAATTAAGTTATACTAACTGAACTGTAACAGAGGCTTTATGAAGTTACTTGAAAGTAAAGGATCTGCAATAAATACTTTTACACAGCCTGTGTCTTTATAGTCATATTAACTAGAAAGGATGGAGCACAAATGAGGCTTTATGTTAAAGGATCCCTGTCCCAGAACTGACAACCATTACACTGTTCCTGCTGTCTTTTTGAGTGGAAAATATTTATTCTATGTCCATTAATGTCAAAAGAGACAAATAATGTTAGCTAAAATTTTATGAAATGGTTCAGCACTGAAATATGCATTCTTGCTCACATCTCATTGCCGACTGCTTTACACGTTTAGAGAAGATCAGCAGTACAGAGTGAATGTATGAACACACAACATTAAGAATCGTGTACTGAAGGACAGCGTGTGCAAGCATTCATTCAGAATGCCATCCATGAGTGTATCTGTGCTTTGACCTACTTTGTGGACCTATTGTACAATCAGTAACCTGCAAGATTCACGCAGGTTTATTCAGTGTTGTGAAAGGCAGAGTTTTCAAAAGGCCATGTAGGTCAGCCCACAGTGACTATGCCATTAAAATCACTGAACACGTATTTAAAAATACACACCAAAAGCAGAAAAAAAAAAAGCCCTTTTGTGTGTTCACTCTCATTGGTCAGCTTCGACACCAAAGTGAAGCAGGATGCTTTTCACAAGCACCTCCATGTCCAGTGTGTTTTGGAGTTGGTTAAGACTGAATTTGTGAGGGGCATGTTTGCCTTCTTTGATCTTTGGAGGTTGGGGGGGGGCAATTCCTTCAGGAATTGTGCTTATGTGTTATTGACAGAGTTGAAAGGCTACGCTTACACTGCAGTTGATAGTGCTCCAGCTCAGATTTCTTCTCACTATCCATGCAATACAGATGTTTCCCATTTCTTTATTTTTTAAAATTCATATTGAAAGCAGAACTTGGCCTCCATAAACAAAAAAAATCATTTCAAATCCAGCAGTAAAGTTAGAGGAGGAAAAAGACTATTTATCTAATGTGGGCAACAATTTCAGTTCCCTCTCTGACAGACTGTCCAGACATCATATCTTTTGTCCATTGGTGTTATTTCAGGATGGAGGTAATTTAAACTGATATGAGATATAGGTCACTCAAAAAGTACAACAGTAAAACAGAACAATCAGATCTGAACAAAAAATCTGATTTGAGTAGCAAGGCCTTTTGGGATTGTAGCACCGTGGGACACCTTTGCTGACATCGGTTTTGGTCGCTGGCAACAGGCAAATCATCGTTATGTTGCTCTAGAACTGCCTTTAGTAACATTTGATAATATTACATTGTTTCACTAGCTGCTATGCCATTATTAG